ACAGACTAATTTTTCCGCTCCGCGCAGATCTTTTTTATACAGTGAGCGCGACCGCAAGGCATGGGTAGAAGCCCCGCCTGGCGACAGCATACGAACAGCAGATTGGTCACAATCGCGTATAGTTGCTCTCAGTCTACACGGTCCGTACTCTGTAAGAAAACAATGAATTAAGATAATCCCCATGAGCGGGCTACCTGTCATTTTATGATAGAGATAGACAAAATAATTACGTCATCATTCTGCAGACCTGTCAATCAACGAGCCAGACTCGTTCCCAGTCGCTTCCCCATGTCTCGTCACCCCTGACAGAAATCCCATGTATTTCCGATGGGAAGTTTTTCCATGGGACCCCATGGAAATTGCATGGTGAATTGGACACCATGTAGCATGGGATTTTTCCTATGAGAGTTTTCCCATTGGCTTTTTCCCATGGGAAATTTTATATGGGGTTTTCCCATGTATGATTTCCTATGATTTCTCAAAAATTCCAAATTGCTCCATGGTATTTTTCAATAGCAACTTTCTTAATACATTTTAACCCTGTGTGTTTTGTGGTATTCACCGAATAGGTAAAGCACACCATGGAACTCCGATTGGGGGGGGGGGGGGGGGGGGGGGGGGTTGTTCCACGTATTAGGAGTGGCTTAGGCCCCCCAAAAAAGTCTCCAGTTTCTGGTATGGAGCTTGCCCAAAAAGTGGTGCGGCGACGCGGCTTTTTTTTTTTACCTGTTTTTTTTTGCTTAATGTCGGCTGATGACTGCAAATATGGTGCCCGACTAAACTTAGTGCAAATATATGGGAGTCCAGAGAGGCCACATAAAGCTTATTCTCGACCATAACCCAATCTAAAAACACGTTAAAATTATGCAGCAACAGGATTCCAGTCAAACCAGTGAGTTTGGCGGTTTTGAGACATCATCTTTTATTGAAAAAAAAACTTTTTCATTTTGTCGACGCGCATGGCTACGGCGATGCGCGCGCATACCAGAAACCGGAGACTCTTTTTTTGGCCTTATGCACTCTATGACCAATGTCTACATGATTGCTCCCATACCACTTGTCAAGTTGTACCATATTATCACAGTATACCCAATTTATTTTCTCATGAATGTTTCCAACCAAAATAACAAATGACCACTGTCTGCATTCTGTTAAGCAAACTCAATATGATAGGATACCCGAACTTGTTGCTTATACAAATGTACATAATGTATTCTGGCCTGGAAAGAGCAATCTTGACCTGTTTTTCATTCCCAGTTTATAGCAGGCAAATACATTTGACCACGAGTTCAATGAGATAAGCAATGCACATGTGGCATCATGAATTTAACAGTTTTATGATTTAATAAGTTATTTACTAGTTCACCATCACACCACAACAGAGACTTACCGGTTTTATAATTCTGCCATCTGCTATCGAAAGCACCAATTAACAGGGGCGGCGGAACCGGGGGGATCCCCCATTTTCCCAGGCCAACAAAAGAGCCCCTCTCGCGGAAATCAATGTGCCCCTATCTCGAGATGAAAAAGCACCCTTCAAACGCACACGCTTGAAAGCATACGTAGGCCTACGCTACAAATAAAATTTGGGAATCGAACTCACACCATCGGATTTGTAATCCAATGTAGTATCCATGACACTACAGCAGTGACTCGATCGATGTGGTCGTTTTAAACATTATACTATTGCATATATAGCGCCTTCCAGCATAATTCTATATATACTAACAGCGTGTGGTATGCAAAAAAATAGCGCGACCGGGTCATCGATAATGCAGACAAGCAGCTATAGCTAAAAGAAAAAGATAAAAATTACCTGCTTCCCAAACAACTTACCTTTTATTACAAAAGTAGGGTATCTAGTATTACAAAAAGAACCTACCATTGGAGGGAAAAGAAGGTAGATTTCGACTTTGGAAAATATTTTTTATTGCTTGTATGCTAGTCCCAGGAACACATCCTTTTCAGGGCATTACCTTCATTTTATAAAGTTACCACTTTCAAGAGTAGCATGAAAATCTTATGAGCAATACCCGCAGTTTACGCAAAAGGTGGACAATATTAAAACGCCCTGGGCAAAAAATAAATTGCAGATTTAAGGAAACCTGGTAAAAATCTTTACGTACTTGCATAATTTCTTTGGGGTAACATCATTGGTGTCCCCGGAATTGTGGTGGTGGGGGGGGGGGGGGGGGGGGGAAGGCGTTGCGGCATACTGTACTCAACCTAACAAAACGACAAGCCGGAACTAGTTTGGTGTAAAATGGCTCTTTTTAATAATCTCGCACGATGGAAATCAACAAGAAATTTGAGCACTTTCAACAACATAGCGTCCTCATTAAGTTTAATTTGATACAATATAGTTAAATTTTATACAATAACACTTTTCAGTAATCCAGTTCCACGCCAATCTCCGAACGAACTTCCTGAAAGTAGGACGAATTAGAATCGTACATTCGCGAATTACCCTGGACGAAGTGAAAAATATTGGTGTTAACAGACTTGTATTCGAGTCACGAAACATCGAGTCCAAGTCCAAGTCCGAGTCACATTTCTCGAGTCCAAGTCTGAGTCCCGAGTCCTCCAGGTCGAGCCCGAGTCCGAGTTACGAGTAACAAAGGTCGAGTCCAAGTCCGAGTCACGAGTCACCTCTAACATTGTATTGGAAATACGTACATTTCTGGTGCTGTAAATTTCCATTTTCCCCAAAGCTTTGAATTGATACATGAATTTCTTTAATCAATATATCGGTAACTGGCCACGGCCACGCAAGCACCGCATCGAGCACCCTGAACATGTATTGTACCGAGTGTGCAGTGCGGTAATTTCCGTTGAGTCACAAGTCAGTTCTAGTCCAAGTCCGAGTCCGAGTCCGTAGCCCCGAGTCCGAGTCCGAGTCCGAGTCGCAAGTCAAAGTGACTCGAGTCCGAGTCCAAGTCATTAAAAATGTGACTCGAGTCGGACTCGAGTCCGAGTCCGAGTCACGAGTCATACAAGTCTGGGTGTTAATCCCAAATCGGAATGAAAAATTAAGCCCAAAGGACGTTCTGGAACGAAATTGAAGTATCATTTCATGGAATTTAAATGATGCAAGTGTAAAAGTATATTATTTCGCAAGAAACACTTTTTATAGAGTCGTATCTACCGACTATTAGGTACCCAAGGCGCTGGAGATATGTCTATTATTAAAGAAAGGTAAATAAAGTTAATGAGAGATATGAGACCCAATATGTAGCACCTTATAATGGTTTACAAGGTGCTGCGGCGCATATTGCAGCCACTGCCAGAAACACCAGGGCAAACCCCTTCTCCTAGCGATAAGTTCTACTGAGTTCCTTAACGTGCATTACACAACACACGGGACCTACGGCTTTACGTCCAATCCGAAGGACGAAGCAGTAATGGTAAAGTGCCTTGCTCAAGAGCACAAGCACCATGTTCCCACGGTCAGGATTCGAACCCATGTACCAAGGCACACGAGTCGAACACCGTAACCATTGGACCACACCACTTTTAAGAGTCCCAAGGTTTAAGTTTCCCTTAAACCTTATCAAGACTGCAAATGTTCCCCCATAAACCGTCTTGTAATAGCTCCGGAATGCTTCGGTAGACTGGCATGGAATTTGGTAGCTTTTACTAACTTTAACCAAGGTTGACTATAGTACCCAAAACAGATTCTATATGACGTATGCTGTTAGACTGACAACCAATTTAACACCACAATAATTATATATTTGATTTAAAAGCACGTAAGTATGATTAAACATTTTTTTAAACCATTTCTTTTTTTTTGCCTATTCTATTATGTAATTATGTGCATCATCTTGGTCACGTGTCCAACTATAATTCATGCCGGGAAATTTAATATGGTCGGCAATGGAAATGGCACTGTAATTTCACATGCGGTCTGCATGAAACAAATGTAAGCATTTAAACCATTACCGTAAGTACCCAATTTGTACCTATTATTGTTGAAAGAGATTTCAGGACAATTTCTGACAAAATCTAGACAAATTCTCATTTTGCACCCAAATTGGGTGAAGTGTCCTGTACGTAGCAATGACTTATAGATGCCACAAATGGTTAGATATCAGACCAAAAAATACCCTCAAACTTACAGGTATAATAAACCGAACAAATATCGCTTTAAAAGCATCTTAACTATCAATCAGCCAACTTAATAATTAACATAATATAATACATGTATACCACCTCAATAATTCACGTAAAATACAAATAGTGTGCAAAAGCGCACAGCATCCACACTTTAAGGTCGCGGGGCAGATTCGATCGAATTTTGCACCCCAAAATGGGCGAGTGACCTGCAGCGGTAACTTTATAGATGCCTCAAATGGTTCAATAAGACCAGATATACCCCAGCCTGATAGGTATAATAAACCAAACAATTATCGCTTGACATCTTAACTACCAATACTTAATAATTAACATAATTATACATGTATATATCACCGCATTTATATACAAACAATTTGTCAAAGAGTACAGCATCCACACTTAAAGGTAAATTCCATCATTTGTAATTTGCGCATTTTGTTCGTTTGAAGCAACATACGTGCTCAAAATCTTAAGAAGACGGTGATAAGCAACTAACGTGATGAAGTTTCAGCTCAGCTTCAGCTGTATATTTCAAGGAAAACAGCATTCTAGGATCTCGATTTCAAATCAAAAGTTGCCCGAATCACGTTTTGAATTGGGCCTGAATTCAGCGTCCGAGACTGTTCTCACTGAGCCGATTGCAGCTACGCGATGTCGCGCACTGATCCGACGAATCATAGCAACCGCGCCAGCGGCGTGTGCGTCGTGTCTAACCTTGCGCACGCTTCGCGGAATAACAAAACGAACCACTAACTGAAATCTCCAATGGAAATGCCTTCTTTCGTTGATTTCTTCAAAATGACAGCTTGCCATAAAGAATAATTTCACAGGGAGTTTAGTCCCCTTACTATCTTTCAACCAAGTATGTTTTTCAACAATAATTACGTCAGTTACTTTTTGGATAGCTGCAAATGATGGACTGTAGCTTTAAGGTCCTAGGGTAGATTCGATCCCAATCTGGGTCAGATTTGACCAGATATTTTTCCGGGCCAACATGAACACCGATTTAACACCACAATAATTGGTTATTTTATTTTAAAACATATAAGTGTGATTTTTTTTAAACATCAAAAGCATTGTTTCTTTGCCTATTCTATTACGTAATCACTTAAGATGAACATCCTTGGTCACGTGACTCTGAGTCACTTTCCGGGGCTATTTGAAGAAGTTTCACGTTTGTACCAAAAAGTGTCATTTGACCGAGAAAAGTGTCCTTTTTAAACTAGAATCTCATTTTGACCCGAAGAGTGTCTGGTCAAATCGTATACTCATTCCGGGTCGAATCTTACCGGGGACTTTTATGAGTGTATTTACCCTCAATGTAGTATAAACAGATTTACTTGAGTTAAAAATGATCAAGTTTTAATAGTCCGTATCATACACCGATACAGAACAAGTGGATATCTCTTGTGGGGAAATTTCCCTTAATTCGTATGCTTTAACCTTGAAGGAAAACAAGACAGTTTAGCATCTTCAAAATTAAGCGACAGCAGATAATAGGTAGGAATGCGAATGGCAAACTTAAATAGAAAAGAAAATGTTGCTTTTGTGTTGTCACTGACAGATTCTCGAGTTTCGACTGGCTCGAGTTTGAAAATCCGCCTGTGATAATTAAACCTCTTCCGTTTACAAACCGGTTTCTGTATTCACATTAGTAGTCAGGTCAACTACGGTTTCGTTAGGTTTTGCCTTAACTACACAACGACAGAACATGGCATAAAACCCCTCTCTGAAACCATCCAATCGCCACAAGTATATCAACGGATTGATCACGGTAGAGAGAGTATACAGCAGGTAACCCCCCCAAGCCCAGGCCAGAAAGGTTTCATCTTGCCAGAGAGATACATTAAAGAAGGCAAAAATCCTTAGAGCGAAACTGGGAGCCCAAGAAATGAATGACACTACCAGAATGAGAACAAACATGATCAGTAAACGACGAGTCTGCTGGACTCGGGTTTGATGGTGCTCCTCGTTGGCACTGATGCCTGCCGCGGATGCAAGAGGTGGAGTGTAATGCTTGATCTTACGGAAAGCCAAGTAATAAACAAGAGCGGTGATAAGCCACACGATGTATCCTGCCAGAGAGGCACCAAAGATGTGCACTTTATCAAAAACCCAAGGTGGGACAGCATTATACATCACTAAGCCATAGGCGAGACTTGAACACCAAAAGAGGATACAAATTCCGATCAGACGATACCCTGTCACCAGTGAATCGTAGCGAGCCAGTGACATAAGGGACAGGGCCAGGTAACGATTGACAGCAACGGCCAGAATAGTCATAATGGAGACTATGTAAGTTCCGGTTAAGAGGCCGATGAGAATGTCTGATGTATTCAGCCATGGATATGGTATGGCGCAGACGGAGAAGAGCAAGTCGGCCAACGCCAGGTTGAACACGAAGGCGTAGTACTTGATGCGGAGCTTTTTAGTCCCAGCAAACACTGCAATCGCAAGGAGATTTTCGAGCATTGCCAGTGCACAGACACCGCTCATGCAATACTGCATAACGGTGAAGAGACTTACAGCCATATCTTTCAGATACAATAAATACGCTGTAAAATGGAAGAAAAAAGAACTCGAATTAAAGTTGGTTGTCACTTCCATTACTTTTCTAATAATCCGATTGTTTAATAAGACCTTCATGAGATAAACGCCACTTGATAGTCAAATTGTCATATCGTTCCTTGTATTTTCATACATGTGTGCAGTTGCTAGATATCTGTCTGTGCTCAAGTGACGTATTATATCTTACCTTGTAAATGTATTTGGAGGGTGTAATTCCGGATCCTTTGCGATCTTTGCGGCAGGCCTATAAGTAAATAATACATTGAAACAAATTTAGCATTTAATAAAGACATTTGCAGTGCAGCAGAGATCCACTTCATTTTCTTTGTAACTGACATATTAAGCCACGCATGAAGTTTGCTGGTCGGTCATAGTTCCATTACGTTTTTTAAAAAGCGCTCAGCTATGATCCTAGTCTGAGTATCACCCGTTATCTACGGAGCCAGTCTCCGTATTACGTCTGACCAGGGTGACCGTAAGGTCAGAGCCAAATTCTGCTAAATGCATATCAAAAATATGTCAGATTTATCAAGAATCTGCCAAATTCCCCAGGATTACTCGAAATACACTATTAACACTTAAAATCACATGCAGATTGGTAGTATTGCCTTAATTATGATTCAAATTACATAATAAACAATCTATATAGTCACATAAAGATGTTGTGAAATTGTTGGTAAATTTCGGGCAAAACGCAGAACCCGGCCACGACGAAGTCCGTTTCCCAGTGAACCTCAGCACATAGACCAGCCCACCTGTCCCATTATAGGGTTTGTTTGAAAAATTTCATGATTGAATTTATTTTAAACAAATGTAAACTTTTTGGTTCAAATTTGCTGTCAAATAACCATTTTTGCAGAATTCTGTCAGAAATCTGCCAAAAAAAATCATTCTTCTGTCAAACCCTTTTTTTTAAACAAAAATTCTATCAAAGTTAGCCAAAATTTGGCTAAAACTGTCACCCTGCGTCTGACATATCAAAGAATGCATATTTATACGATCTCGCGCCTCAGCCAACCGGAGTCAACTTTAATAAATCGTCACGTCATTTCATTCCCAAATCAAGACTAAACGTTGGATTGGTCAATTCCAATGCTGTTTTTGTAATACAAAAACAGCCCGAATGCGTGTCCGGAGCCTTTGTTTCTGTGTCTACATGTTTTTTTTTTATCAAGGACTATGACGCGATAATCGGTGAATGACCGAAGACTCGATATAGAAAGCTCCCGCTGATTGGTCGAAATCTAGAGGTGAACATGCTATCTATCTATCTATCTATCTATCTATCTATCTATCTATCTATCTATCTATCTATCTATCTATCTATCTATCTATCTATCTATCTATCTATCTATCTATCTATCTATCTATCTATCTATCTATCTATCTATCTATCTATCTATCTATCTATCTATCTATCTATCTATCTATCTATCTATCTATCTATCTATCTATCTATCTATCTATCTATCTATCTATCTATCTATCTATCTATCTATCTATCTATCTATCTATCTATCTATCTATCTATCTATCTATCTATCTATCTATCTATCTATCTATCTATCTATCTATCTATCTATCTATCTATCTATCTATCTATCTATCTATCTATCTATCTATCTATCTATCTATCTATCTATCTATCTATCTATCTATCTATCTATCTATCTATCTATCTATCTATCTATCTATCTATCTATCTATCTATCTATCTATCTATCTATCTATCTATCTATCTATCTATCTATCTATCTATCTATCTATCTATCTATCTATCTATCTATCTATCTATCTATCTATCTATCTATCTATCTATCTATCTATCTATCTATCTATCTATCTATCTATCTATCTATCTATCTATCTATCTATCTATCTATCTATCTATCTATCTATCTATCTATCTATCTATCTATCTATCTATCTATCTATCTATCTATCTATCTATCTATCTATCTATCTATCTATCTATCTATCTATCTATCTATCTATCTATCTATCTATCTATCTATCTATCTATCTATCTATCTATCTATCTATCTATCTATCTATCTATCTATCTATCTATCTATCTATCTATCTATCTATCTATCTATCTATCTATCTATCTATCTATCTATCTATCTATCTATCTATCTATCTATCTATCTATCTATCTATCTATCTATCTATCTATCTATCTATCTATCTATCTATCTATCTATCTATCTATCTATCTATCTATCTATCTATCTATCTATCTATCTATCTATCTATCTATCTATCTATCTATCTATCTATCTATCTATCTATCTATCTATCTATCTATCTATCTATCTATCTATCTATCTATCTATCTATCTATCTATCTATCTATCTATCTATCTATCTATCTATCTATCTATCTATCTATCTATCTATCTATCTATCTATCTATCTATCTATCTATCTATCTATCTATCTATCTATCTATCTATCTATCTATCTATCTATCTATCTATCTATCTATCTATCTATCTATCTATCTATCTATCTATCTATCTATCTATCTATCTATCTATCTATCTATCTATCTATCTATCTATCTATCTATCTATCTATCTATCTATCTATCTATCTATCTATCTATCTATCTATCTATCTATCTATCTATCTATCTATCTATCTATCTATCTATCTATCTATCTATCTATCTATCTATCTATCTATCTATCTATCTATCTATCTATCTATCTATCTATCTATCTATCTATCTATCTATCTATCTATCTATCTATCTATCTATCTATCTATCTATCTATCTATCTATCTATCTATCTATCTATCTATCTATCTATCTATCTATCTATCTATCTATCTATCTATCTATCTATCTATCTATCTATCTATCTATCTATCTATCTATCTATCTATCTATCTATCTATCTATCTATCTATCTATCTATCTATCTATCTATCTATCTATCTATCTATCTATCTATCTATCTATCTATCTATCTATCTATCTATCTATCTATCTATCTATCTATCTATCTATCTATCTATCTATCTATCTATCTATCTATCTATCTATCTATCTATCTATCTATCTATCTATCTATCTATCTATCTATCTATCTATCTATCTATCTATCTATCTATCTATCTATCTATCTATCTATCTATCTATCTATCTATCTATCTATCTATCTATCTATCTATCTATCTATCTATCTATCTATCTATCTATCTATCTATCTATCTATCTATCTATCTATCTATCTATCTATCTATCTATCTATCTATCTATCTATCTATCTATCTATCTATCTATCTATCTATCTATCTATCTATCTATCTATCTATCTATCTATCTATCTATCTATCTATCTATCTATCTATCTATCTATCTATCTATCTATCTATCTATCTATCTATCTATCTATCTATCTATCTATCTATCTATCTATCTATCTATCTATCTATCTATCTATCTATCTATCTATCTATCTATCTATCTATCTATCTATCTATCTATCTATCTATCTATCTATCTATCTATCTATCTATCTATCTATCTATCTATCTATCTATCTATCTATCTATCTATCTATCTATCTATCTATCTATCTATCTATCTATCTATCTATCTATCTATCTATCTATCTATCTATCTATCTATCTATCTATCTATCTATCTATCTATCTATCTATCTATCTATCTATCTATCTATCTATCTATCTATCTATCTATCTATCTATCTATCTATCTATCTATCTATCTATCTATCTATCTATCTATCTATCTATCTATCTATCTATCTATCTATCTATCTATCTATCTATCTATCTATCTATCTATCTATCTATCTATCTATCTATCTATCTATCTATCTATCTATCTATCTATCTATCTATCTATCTATCTATCTATCTATCTATCTATCTATCTATCTATCTATCTATCTATCTATCTATCTATCTATCTATCTATCTATCTATCTATCTATCTATCTATCTATCTATCTATCTATCTATCTATCTATCTATCTATCTATCTATCTATCTATCTATCTATCTATCTATCTATCTATCTATCTATCTATCTATCTATCTATCTATCTATCTATCTATCTATCTATCTATCTATCTATCTATCTATCTATCTATCTATCTATCTATCTATCTATCTATCTATCTATCTATCTATCTATCTATCTATCTATCTATCTATCTATCTATCTATCTATCTATCTATCTATCTATCTATCTATCTATCTATCTATCTATCTATCTATCTATCTATCTATCTATCTATCTATCTATCTATCTATCTATCTATCTATCTATCTATCTATCTATCTATCTATCTATCTATCTATCTATCTATCTATCTATCTATCTATCTATCTATCTATCTATCTATCTATCTATCTATCTATCTATCTATCTATCTATCTATCTATCTATCTATCTATCTATCTATCTATCTATCTATCTATCTATCTATCTATCTATCTATCTATCTATCTATCTATCTATCTATCTATCTATCTATCTATCTATCTATCTATCTATCTATCTATCTATCTATCTATCTATCTATCTATCTATCTATCTATCTATCTATCTATCTATCTATCTATCTATCTATCTATCTATCTATCTATCTATCTATCTATCTATCTATCTATCTATCTATCTATCTATCTATCTATCTATCTATCTATCTATCTATCTATCTATCTATCTATCTATCTATCTATCTATCTATCTATCTATCTATCTATCTATCTATCTATTTTTCTTTCTTTCTTTCTTTCTTTCTTTCATACGTACAACGTTCGAGCTCCGGAGTAAGTAGGTGTTTTTGTGTATTTTAGACTTTGTTTGATTATTATTTCTTTACCACTGTGCTTTGTATTGCCGATACATCTTGCAAGACCGTTTCTAGCCTCTCGGGTGTCTTCATTTTATTATATTTTCAGATTCATTTTTCGTTCGTCCCTGTTTAGCTTGATGCACTGTCTGACTGGCCGCCATGGCTAGCCAGGCAGGGCCCGCTATTCAGGGGCAGTCAAGCGTAGGGGCGTCCGCTCCTAGCAAGCCCATTGTTCCTGGTGACGAGCCATTCAAGAACGTCACCAGGAACAATGGTGTTACTTTCCGGGCTACAGACACTGTATCCATACAATCCTACATCGATTCGTTCACTAATGTCCACCCTGCCAAAGATATCATCTCTGCTTCTCGTATTTCAAATGGTCGTATTGCTATCTATCTCAGCTCGAGGGAGGCCGTCGTGGACGC